TTTTGATTTCACAAAAAACGCTCACTTCATACCGGTACACCTAGTATATTTCGCGAGTTATTCAATCGTGTGAATACCGCGAGTGTAGCCATCCAACGACCCAACATCTTGAGAGAAGAACCACCTGTTCGAGAAGGTTCACCCTATCTACGATCCAGTACGAGTACGAGTAAGTACCTACCTCCGTTTATATTTATCCAAATTACCTCTGTACCTTCGCATATTAATACCTCCCCGAATTGTAGNAAATTACCTCTGTACCTTCGCATATTAATACCTCCCCGAATTGTAGTGAATACCCTACGAGGAGAGGATAGGCTCGAGGCCCTCAGGCTCGCAGTTAGAGATTTAAACGAGGCTGGCGACGATACCTTAACCGCACAGCTCAGAACTTTTTCCGAACTTTTAACCCCCAATAGAAATTCTTATCCACCAACCCCTTCTGACGAGAATACCCCGTCAATACCTCTTGGTTCCCCTCTCGCCCTTTTCTATTACCCAAATCCTAATTACCAACCACCGACCCCTCTTATACAACCCTATCGTGAATTTCCCTCACCTTACCCCTGGATTTCGCCTCCTCCTTCTCCCCCATATTATCTTAATCTACCTTCGCGTTCCCCCACGCCAGACCCACGGACCCCATTTCGACCTCCATCTCCATACGATTCCCCTACTTCTCCTTCTGAACCACCCACTCCCAACTCCTTACCCTCTCCTTAAACTACTATCGGTAAACCATCTGTCACACACACACACACACACACACATAATTGCATATTGTAACTTCGCTGTTATTCTATATTGTAACTTCGCCGTTTGTTGTTCTATATTGTAACCTCGCTGTTTGTTGCTCTATATTGTAACCGTGCCGTACGCTATTCTATTTTGTAACCTCACCATGTAATATCATGTAATATCATCGTGTAATATTGTAATGTCAGCCGTAGTCATAGAATAAATATCGCAATTGTCACTTTAATTTTCCCATTTTATTTAATATTCATACCATCGCGCGTTCACTATCCTTTTCCCCAATTATTCCGCTCGCGGTCCCATCTCAGGTGAAGGGTTTCGGTACCTTGACCTAAATTAGAACCACCCAGCGTAAGCTCGCGTCAGAGTAAAGTGACCCTTCCGGTTTCTGACCTATACTGCCGGCATTCAGTTACGTTTGAGGCACGCTCTTACGCGTGCGGCCGTTTCGTTCTCTTCCAGGTCGTAACACTTTTATAAAATTACAATAGCTGTCAAGTTTATGGATGCTTATTCCCCGTAACTGCGATCATAGAATGCATAACATTTTAAGTATGTTCAATGGATACATCCATCCGACATGACGATGTGATTCTCATCAATTATAACTCCATTACATATGTGTTTACCGTTCATTTTAATTGATGCGATCCATGAGTACTAATTGACATCTCTATCATTTTGTTGTACTTCAATGTTGAAACGTGAAATAGATCATTATATTTTTCTTATTATTTTTATTGTAAGTTTTGTATTTTTACTTTAAAAGAATTTTCTTATTTCACTTTAAGTATTTTTATTATTTGCCGTTCGTAACCGGCGTTAAACTGTAGGTCCCATATGCATGTATATGATCTGTGTGCGCACCATGCTAGCTTCCATAAGGCTAATAACCCACGTGGAGCGAAAAGCATCTATTCAGAGACAAATGAAATACCCCGACGCTTAGCGGCACAAAGGGAAAGAAGAAGAAATATTTTTATTTATTTTTACTTTAAATTACTTTTTTACTTAAATTATTTTTACTGTAAAAAGATTTTTTCACAAAATGTTTTATGATATTTTTTATTTTATTTTTACTAACATAATTCGAAAAAGTTATAAAACCTATACAATGTAAATTTTTAATATTTGCAAAGAATGAGGAATATATAATAATAAAATATTGATATACATTCTATCCTGAAATTAAATTGTTCATTGTATTGGTAACTCAAAATGATAAAAACTGTGTAATCCAAATAGTTAAAATTAAAAATAAAATTATTCATCAACAACATTTATTTTAACAATAAAAATATTAAGCATTACGTATAACAGCAATTCGGTCCTTATTATTTGTATTATTGTAATTAATTAATTAGATTTTTTCTTGTGACGAAAGAAATTTAAATTATTATTTTTTTGTATAATAAAGAAACAATAATATCACAAATAATATTTATTTTTTTGCTTTATATTAGGTGGTAAACTTAGTTCCTGCAACTCATAGTTAGATGAAGTTAGTTGTAGGTGTAATTTATTTTGAAATTTTGAAACGTGAAACTGACTGCATTTTAGAGGTTAGACATTTGTCAATAAAATTCAGTGCGAAGAGATTCGTTTAAGCGAGCAGTGCTATTTTTTCTTTTGATTAAATATGGAACGCGATAAGTTGTTTTTTCGACATGTGCTGCTTCATTACTTTGACTTGAAAAAAACTGCAGCTGCAGCTCATAAATTGCTTTTCGAAGCTTAGGGCAATTATGCTCCATCGAAAAGAACATGCCAAGTATGGTTTCAGCGATTTAAGATTGATGATTTTGATGTCAATGATAAAGACGCTCAGGCCAACCGAAAAAGTTTAAAGACACCGATTTGCAGGCATTATTGGACGAAAACTCTACTCAAACGCTCCAAGAATGTCTGCAACATTAAATGTTACTCCGATGGCTGTTTCCAAACGTCTACATGCAATGGGAAAAATTCAAAAGGAGGGAAAATGGGTACCACACGAATTAACCGCAAATGCCATTGCGAATCGTTTAAACATCTCTATTTCTCTGCTCGCCAGGCAGAAAAAGAAAAGTTTTTTGTGGTGCATAGTGACTGGCGATGAAAAATGGTTATACTTCGATAATCCTAAACGAAGAAAATCATGGGTAGACCCTGGCCAAACATCGACATCCACACCAAAGAGATATATTCATGGCCACAAAGCAATGCTTTGCATTTGGTGGGATATGCACGGCGTCGTTTATTATGAGCTATTGAGACCGAACGAAAGTATCACAGGGGATCGATATCAATCACAATTAAACCGTCTGAATGAAGCATTGTTGGAAGGAAGGCCAGCAGTAGCCAGCAATCGACATAAAGTCATGCTTTTGCACGACAACGCTCGACCACATGTTGCCAAAGCCGTCAAAGAAATACTGATGCAGCTCGAGTGAGAAGTTCTCCCGCACCCAGCGTATTCACCAAACTTAGCTCCTTCGTACTATTACTTGTCCCGGTCGATGCAGCACGGCTTGGTGGATACACACTTCAGAAATTACGAGGATGTGCGAAAATGGATCGACGAATGGATTGCATCAAAAGACCAATCGTTCTATCGTCGCGGAATCTACGCGTTGCCCGATAGATGGGAAAAATGTATAGCTAGCGAGGGAAAATACTTCGATTAATGTATTTTTTGCTTTTGATGTCGAAATAAATGAGTTTTTTAAACAAAAAACCATAGGAACTAAGTTTACTACCTAATACATGCACAATTCAAATAAAATTTAGTTTTCAACGCCAAAAAGTTCTTTTAATGCTTTCTGCAAATTATTGATGTAAAAACGAACTTTTGTATTCAAAACCTAATATAACGATCAGTGTAATTATAGCTGTAAATATTTAATATGATTTCGATGAAAATGTTTTATGCCTTACCATTAATGGCGAGATAAACCAGAATCTTCACAAGTTGCAAAATTATGACCATATCAAACGGCAACGTCGTTTCAAGAGACTATTCAGTCGTATTAAATAATAATTAATTACTTATGTAATATGACGTGAAAGATGATGCGTCATTAAAAAAACCAAAATAATAGTTTCATTCTGACTTTTAGATGCCATATGTGAAAAATATTTCTTTGCTATGAGAGTAGTAAATTAAAACGCGCGTTTGGTGTAATAAATAAAATAATATATTTATTTGAGTAAATATACGTAATTTATTGATTTTAACATATTCATATCCACTCATATTTAACGTCATAAACAAAATTTTTTTATATGTTTTGTGTGACTTTGATTGACATGTGGAATTTACTGTTGGTAAACAATTAGTTATAATATAATATTTAATTTGTTATAAATATTAAAACAACAAAATATATGTATCTTATTAATATATATCTTTTAATTAACAGAACAATATATTATATAATATATTTTAATTAACACCGTATTCCAATGATTCATTTAAAATTACACATACGGTAAAGATATACACAGTATAATTTTTTTATTAAATGATCTTCATTGATATTATTAACTATTAAGTATTTTTAATTTCGATTTGCCAGTAAGACCGAAATATATCCACCCGAGGTTTTTAATATCTAAAAATACAAAAGAACATTTACCGAGCAAAGCAAAAATAATGAATTATTTCATGTGTTATATATAATATATATAATATTATTTATTACCCTCATTTCATTAATTATATTAATTTACAAATTTCGGTCAACTTTTGTACTGGAGCAGCTGATAACTTTTTTAAGACAATTTTTCACGCTGAATTCGAATCCGACGCCAAAATTTTTCTAGGTCATTAGGTTTTCGAGATATCGCCAGGTGGCAGTACTATAGTGTCGTTATGGTGACTGCTCATCTTGACAGCAGATTGAAGCAAGTTCATTGTGCGCATGTTTTTCTAAGTTATTTCAATCACAAAAAATGTCGAATAGAGCGTGTAAAACAGACCCGAGTTTTTTTTGCTACTTTGATGGGAAATTTATAATCGCGAAGAAGGGCTATGTAATCACAGAGACGTTCAAATATCTTCTGCTGAAATCAAAGAAGGAACTTTTGTAGGTCTATAAATAAAAGAATTAATTAATGACCAGCAGTTTTCGCAACATCTGTCAGCCGCTGAAATTGCAGCATTGGCGTCCTTCAAAAAAGTTGTCCGCGAATTTCTCGGCAACAAAAAAGCGCCAACTACTGGCAAATAGTTGCGGATTTGCTGCAAAATGATTGTCGAATTGCTGCTCATATATCACTCAAGTTCCATTTTTTTCTACTTGGAGTTTTTCCCGGAAAACTTGGGTGAACTAAGCGATAAGTAAGGCGAGCTAATGTTACTATGATATGCGCTACTATGATAATGCACACTATGATATGCAAAGCATTGAGCCTAATTACAAAGGTTTTTGACATGAAGGCAGGCTCAGCGATTATTGCTGGTCCTTGTTGCGTGAAACGGACCCAAAACAAAACAAGAGACTAAGTTTGGAAGCCGTTCACTCTTAAATTTTTGAATAAAATGAGCCATTCTAGCAAAAAATAGCAAAAAATGAGCCTTTTATATATCTCGAAAACCTGTTGACCTATGAAAAAAACGGACTGCGGATTTTGAATCGGCATCAAAAATTACCTTAGAAACACATTTCAGCTGCTCCAGTATAAAACCGTGTATACCAGTGTTGTTAATAATTGCATTTTATAAAAGATCATATAAAAATATGTAATAGAATATTATTATTTTGATAATTACAATTAATATTATTGGGAGTGTGAATAAGTTCTTGCCGTTTCACCATCAAATGGCGGTATAAAAATTTTCTGTGTATAATTCAAGATGATGACGCATCTATATTGAAGTTCTATAACCTATGTTTAAAATCAGTGCGTGTCTTTCCATTAATCTATAAAGAACATTTTCTTTTTGTAGCGTAAAATATGTCAAATTTCGTGCCAAATAAACCGTTTTTGCGGGAAATTTTACTGTACTATTTTATTCAGAAGAAATCTGCAACTGAAGCACACAGAAATCTTATAGAAACCTATGGTGATCATGCTCTGTCGGAAAGAACATGCAGAGATTGGTTTAACCGATTTAAAAATGGTGATTTTGATGTTCAAGATAGAGAACGCAGTGGTGCACCAAAATGTTTCAAGACGAAGAATTGGAAACATTACTTGCTGAAGATCCATGTCAGACGCAATCCGATGTTGCAAAATCATTAGGAGTTGATCGAACAACAGTTTCGAAACGTCTGACAGCATTAAGAATGATACAAAAGGAAGGATCTTGGATGCCGTAAGAACTGAAGCCGAGACGTCGAACGGCGTCTTGTCACGTGTGAACAGCTGCTTCAACGATAAAAAAGGAAAGGTTTCATACATCGTATTGTGACTGGTGATGAAAAGTGGATATACTACAGTAATCCCAAGCATAAAAAATCGTGGGTTAAGCCCGGCGAAGCAGTAGCATCAACGCCAAAGCGGAATATCCACGGTTCCAAGCTCATGCTGTGCATTTAGTGGGATCAGCTGGGAGTAGTATATTACGAGCTGCTCCAACTCAACCAAACCATCACAGGAGATCTCTATTGACAACAATTCATGCGTTTGAGCCGAGTATTGAAAGAAAAACGGCCGCAATATAAGCAAAGACACGATAAGGTGATTTTGGTGCATGATAACGCTCGGCCGCATGTCGCGTCACCGGTCAAAACATACCTGGAAACGCTGAAATGGGAAGTCTTACCCCACCCGCCATACTCTCCAGACATTGCGCCTTCTGATTACTATTTATTTCAATCGATGACTAACGGCCTGGTTGAGCAGCACTTCACTTCTCATGAAGAAACGAAAAAATGGATCGATTCGTGGATAGCCGCAAAAGAAGTGTCGTTTTTTCGACGTGGAATTCTAATGCTGCCAGAAAGATGGGAAAAAGTAGTCTCCAGCAATGGGCAATAGTTTGACTTGTTTTTTTATTATTTTTTTAAATAAAGAATTTATTTTCACAAAAACGGCGAGAATTTATTTACACTCCCAATATTTTTATTAAAGACAATTAATATTATATTATATAGACACGCACATACACACACACGCGCGCACCCATGAGTGTGTATGTACGTATGTGTGTATACGTATGTATATCGAATAATAATAGTTTAAATTATCTTACGCTGCAAAACGTAGATATTGTCATAGGCAATATTTTCCCAGCCGTAATGTAGAGTGGTTTATTTGTACGAACCATTAAAAGAATTAAATTTTTCGCTTCCTGCGATTTCAACGTATGCCATTCGCACTCATATACCGCATTGTAAATTTCTTCGTACTTGATAAGACAAATATTACAATCAGCGTTACAATATATCAAAATGTATGGTTAAATATTTATATACTATTTATAAAAATTTAAGCGTTCAAGCTGTGCATTTTTAATTAATTATTTCGATAATTTTTCAATAAAGTTTAAACATATAGAAAAATTAATTCATACACTAATTGGATACAAAATAAAATAAAGCAAATCCACTAGAGAATAACTACTGAAACTTGATTGTTTATATTACTGTGTGTGAAATATTATTATATCAATTTCTAATATCAAAATATATTAATTTAAGGCAAGTAATATTAATATTAACAGGTGCTATAGTAATATCACTCTAAGATACTATAATTATATAAGTATAAAAAAATTTAATTTCGGTATTACACTCTCTATATACAATTTTAACTATATCAAACATTCCTATTATTTCTTTTCTTTCCTTCGATTTAAAATATTATAATATGTATCTTCCCATCTTCTACAAAAATAAGTACAGGGTGCGGCGAAAGGTATGCCCTCATTTTGGAGAGCAATCAATAAAATACTATTAAATGTAGAGGATTGGAAATTTTTTTATTACCTTTGGTACTTCAAACAGTTTTTTTACATTAACGTTTAAAAACGATATCTGCAAGATGGCGGCCTCCAGTAGCAATGCACTGATGTAGCCGATTTTGAAAGCTTCGGACTGCGTTTTGGCACATCTGAATCGGAATGGCGTTCACCTCTTCGATGATTCTCCTTTTCAGTTCTTGTAGGGTATGGGGACGATGCTTGAAGACTTTTTCTTTCAGATACCCCCACAAGAAAAAGTCACAAATGCTCAAATCGGGCGATCTTGCTGGCCACCCCAAATCACCCCTCAGAGAGACGAGTCGAGTAGGGAACATTTGCCTCAGTTTCGCCATAGAAATGCGGGCTGTATGCGCTGTTGCTCCATTTTGTTGAAATCAAATCTCCCCCAGATTTGTCTGTTCACTCAACTCCTGCAATTTAGGCTCAAAAAAGTTTTCCAGCATGAAAACATAACGTTGAGCTGTAACTGTAACGTTCTCTGGTGTTGTTGCAGTTCTGGGTCTTCCAACTGCATGAGTTCTTACTGTGGATCCTGTTTTTTCCAATGAAGAAACCCAACGTTTGATTGTTTTTCCATCAGGTACGGAAACATGGCGCCGAATATGGAATCGCAAGCGCATTGCTCTCTGCGTCGCAATGACTGAACGGCCATTTTCCAAAAAAGAGCGCACAGCGAATCCACGATGTTCTCCAGTCCAAATCATGATGTTAACTGAAAACGGTTGAGAACAACCTTCCTAATGAGACCCTGCCCAACAACCTACTCACGCCATCTGGTGAGCAACGGATTTTTCAAACTCGGGCAAACCTTTCGCCGCACCCTGTACTATTGCGTATTTTTATATTTTATTATATAGGTGAAATAAATTAATAAACAAATGTATTAAAAATAACAATACTTATTTGTTAGTTGTATATTAATAAATTTACGAGTAAAGAAAGCTTGATTATTTGAATTATATAATTAAACAATAGTTATTATCTCCTAGAGCTGTAATTTATCAAGGTTGTTTTTATATAGATACAATATTCTAATAGAGATAAAATACGATTGACGACTAAAATTTGAAAACTTACTCTTACCACTAATAATTCGCCGACTGCACAATAAACACACATATGAATTAATCCGGTACAAATAACCATGATAAGAAATATCGCTCTTCTGAAAGGCACGTTAGCACCTTCAAAAATTACCTAAATAAAATCTACACATGTAATGCAATAAAAAATATATTTTGGGTCTACGCTTAATTTCGTAGCAAAATTCAAGTAAATTTCGAATGCAAAATATTAAAAAAGGTGATATTAATAAAGGCGATTTTAATAAATATGTTCCATTCCGTTCAATGACGTCCTGCCGTCTCTCCACAAGTCTCATTATACTTCTTTTATAGAAATACTGAGATACATTGAAAAAGAAATCATCAAAGTAGTTTTTGAAGACGTTCAGGGAACTAAAGGTTTTATTATTCAAATTGCTCTGTAGCGCCCGGAACAAGCGAAGCCCGGAAGTCTGAAGGTTCAAAGTCTGGACTATACGGTGGGTGCAGCAAAACATCCCAACCAAGCCACAATGACTTTTGCCGGGTCATCAGAGGAACGTGTGATCTAGCTTTGTTCTGGTGGAAAAATATGCCCTTTCTTTTCGCCAATTCGGGCCCCATCTGATCGATTTTTCAATTTAATTTGGCCAGTTGTGAACAGTACTTATTTGAATCAATCGTTTAATGGGGTAGCAGCAGCTCAAAATAGATTGCGACAGGCCCGCCTGGTTTTAAATTCGGTGGCTGCGTGGACAGTCTCTGGTCAGTATAGGGCGCTCGTGTGGTAGTTGGTTGACAGTGCTCAGTTTTTCGTTGCGCTTTCTTGATGCCCTGTGAGAGTCAGAGGACCTTTGGCCGCGAAACGGTGGTACCGGCGTAGCTTGCCGGATTTTCACGCGTTCTTGTGTGCGTCTGAGTGAGTGTGAGAATGCATGAGTGAGTGGAGACCTGTGGTTTGGTAATCGCTGTTTATTTAATTATTTTCCATGTTGCTCCGTACAGTTAGTAAATCGAGCGGCGTTTTAAATCCACACTCGTAAATGTAAATATTAAGGCGACAAGTATAGACGCGTTATCTCGTGCTTCGCGGCATTCTCTCTTAAAGTAAAGCCGGAAATTCGGCGTGTCAATGTTCGCGGAATAACAGGTGCCGTGTATATAAAATATACACACGGCGATCGCTGCATGATAGTCGCGATACCTAGCGCGACGGCGGGGAGCGGGCGCGGTGTGGTGTTTATAGCTTCCTGTGCACTTTCGGCCGGAGTGTTTATCAATAATGTGTTGTCGCTACAGCACTTTAATGACGGAAGTTCGAATTAACGTGCATGCGACGGGATGCACCCTCGGGTCGCGGTAATACGGTGCGCTCGGTATTTACTCAGTCGGTGGTGCACGATAACGATACGATACTCTGCTGTACACGACGTGCTCGCATCGGTTGAGCCCCGGAGCGGAGGGCACGCGGTATCGTGCTGTTGTCTCGGTGTCGGTGGGCTTGGTCGGGCGAACCTGATCAACGTGCAGCCGGAAACGGTACGGTACGGCTGCGGCTGGCCGAAGTATTTTGGCGATTCGTCGGTCGGGCAAACGCTCTTTGTCTGTCCGGTGCGCAGCGCGGATTACGACGAGAAAGTGCGAGGCGTACGCTTGCCCGAGAGCCACACTGCCCGAAGATCGGTATGTAGCGGGCGATGTCGAGACGGGAACGTCATACCACCACGTCTGTTCGTCCCTGTCTCCAAGTCACGGGCGAGAAGGCCGAGGAATTCCCGGTGGAGACGTCGAACTCACCGTCTCGGAAAGGATTTTAGAATCCGGCGTCCGCGACTTCCACAGAAGGGACGGCGTTCTACCACCTCGCGCTTGCCGTTCAGAAAGATGTCGAGTGCGGCTATGGACACACAGCTGAGACGGCGCACACACCGTCGCGGTTCCTCGACCTGGCTGAATCGGGATCCGGAGCAGCCTGTGATCTGATCGATCTGACTGACTCCGGTGGAATCGGCATATTTGCCACGGCAGAGCGGACTTTTATACCGCTTCCGCCATGTTTTGCGGCACGCCGTTGTTTAACAACAACGGTTTGTTTTTCCGCGAACACACGCGAATATCACGTGTGTGATGCATGTGGAGAAATTTGTTTGGCGCAAAGCGCTTGTAGTGTTACGACGGTTGAACAATCATCCTCGGTGCTCGTCGAGGGGTGATATAGAATTAAATGACGATTTCTTTCCTATCCCACCAGATACTTTACATGAATTTCTTCGGGTGTAATGCAACCTTTGCGACCGTCTATGCATTCTACCTGCGCTTCGACCACGATGTTTTCCGACTGACATTGTTGTTGACAATTAACCTTTCATCGCCAGTGATCATCCGCTTTAAAAAAAGGTTCGTTTTGATGGCGTTTGAGCAGTAAATCGCAAGCTGAAATTCGGTCCATTACATTCTCTTTGTTCAGTTCGTGCAGCACTCAAACATCAAGCTTGTTTACCATTCCCAAACTTTCGTAAACGCCTCGAAACAGTGGATTGGTCAATGTTGAGATTATATCCGATCTCTGTAGTTGTCAAATACCGGTCGGAATCGATTAAAGCCTTGATTTAATCGGCATCATTAGTGACTAGTCGATCAAAGCGAAAAGCATCTTGGAGATTAAAATCTTCCCAACAAAATTTCGCAAACAACTTTTGACATACACTTTTGCCTACGCCAATCTCTCCATAAACGGCACATATCTTTTTGTTGGTTTGCGACGCGTTTTTACATTTTCGGAAATAAAAAAGCGAAATGCACTGAAAATATATGTTTTCTCCTTCCATGTTCAAAATATAATTAAACTTCGTATACGTCACGGGTCTCGATGAATATTTTCTTAAAATGTCAGCACAAATTTCAGCTTTCATTAAAATTACTACACTTCATATGTTTGACACATGTGCGTGCGGAAAATATTACTAATAAACTATTGCTAGCATCTGTCGGAATTTCGCTAAGGAATTATGCATAAACTCAATATTACATATATATATACAAGGGTGGATCAAATATAAACGAGCCTTTTGTAAAAAAACCATATACTTTTTAGAATTAATTCTAATTAACATTTTGTTTTATTTTTCTACATAGTCCCTCATCCTATATATACATTTTCTCTAAAGGTCTGTTAATTTGTTATCCCGGTATCATAAAAAGTTTGCGGACGTGTACGAAACCAATTGCACACGAACTGCTGCACCTCCTCGTTCTTTGTGAAGCGCTGTCCACCAAGGGCTTCCTTGAGTTGCCCAAACATATGGAAGTCTCATGGTAACAGGTCTGGGCTGTAGGGTGGATGTTCTAGGACCGCCCAGTGCATATCGGCCAACTTTTGTTGAGTTACTGCTGCGGTGTGGAGTATGGCGTGGTCATGGAGAAGCAACACACTTCTGATCTGAATGCCGCGCTTTTATGACCGATAGGCAGCTCGAACTGAAGTTACTGAGAGATTTCAAGAACAGTTAAGTGCCGATTGATTTCAATGAGTTCTCGCTTAGCCTCGGTGTTCTGCGCTGTGATGCTGGTGCGGGAACGGCGGCAATGTTTTCAACACGCTCCCGTCCTTTCTTAAATTTGTTACACCACAACTTCACCCATGCCATGAAAAGGTTTTTTCCCCGAACTGTGGAAGAAAACGGCACCGAATTTCAGCAGCATTTACATTTTTGTTGACGAGAAACTTAATAATAACACGTTGTGCAACTGCGGGGTGTATCTCTTTCTCGCTCTCCGTAATTGCGGCTGAAAAGCACACGTTGGCGCGCCAACGTTATTACTGCCTTCAACATGAACGTCCTCCACTGTCCAAAACGTTGCAGACCTCTCACCTGCCGACGGGCGCACAATTTAAAAAGGCACGTTTATATTTGATTCACCCTCGTATATGTATATATATATATTAGGTGTACAACTTTGCTCTCGCCGTTTTTTTTTAATTTGAGGCTTTATTGTAAAAAAATGGAGATAAAGTTATGTCAAAATATTGTCCATCACTGGCCACTACTTTCTCCCATCTTTTGGGTAATGCACGAATCTCGCGTCGACAAAACTGGTCATCTTTTGAGGTAATCCACGAATCTATCCATTTTCTGACTTCTTTATAAGACTGGAAATGTTGGTCAGCCAGGCCATGTGCCATTGATCGGAACAAGTGATAATCCGAAGGTGCAACGTCTGGAGAGTACGATGGGTGAGGTAGGACTTCCCATTTCAACGTTTCCAAGTATGTCTTGACCACTTTTGCAACATGGGGTCGAGCATTGTCATGCTGCAAAATCACTTTCTCGTGTCTCTCGGCGTAGTGCGGTCGCTTGTCTTTCAATGCTCGGCTCAAACGCATCAATTGAGTTCGATACCGATCGCTAGTGATTGTTTCAGTTGGTTTTAATACCTCGTAATACACTACGCCGAGCTGATCCCACCAAATACAGAGCATTACTTTGGAGCCATGAATGTTCGGTTTGGCCGTCGATGTGTAAGCATGGCCAGAAACTCCCCATAATTTTCTGCGCTTGGGGTTATTGTAATGAACCCATTTTTCATCTCCAGTCACAATGCGATGCAGAAATCCTTTTCGTCTTTGCCTTTCAAGCAGCTGTTCACAAGCAAACAAACGCCGTTCAACATCTCTTGGCTTCAACTC